CTGCTGTATAAGCACAGCACAGGGCAAGATGCCATATGTCCTGGGTAAAGACAGCTTTCCATTTGTGAGTCCTCTTTGTAATCTTTATACACTTTCCTCAGTGAACTCTGACAAGTTGGTAACCCCTGCATCTGGACCTGCTTCTCAGGCCTCTTTCATCCCTTTTCCCTTACTTATCTGTGAGCTGACCAACCTCTCTGCTCAAAAATCCCTCAATCCCCAAGGTAGGGAGGGTATGATAGGAAGGGGTGTTTTTATCCCTTGATTCCTGGCTGCTACGGAACACAGAGTATGGGTCAATAGAAGAGAGGGGCAGGAGTGGCCAGGCCTGGAGGATATTTGGCAACCAGAAAGGCTTAAATCAGATTGGATCTGATTTTAAAGAACTTTCTTTTGGCTTTCCTCATGCACAGGAGGGGTGGAGCTAGATGATGGCTCTGCGGGTCTGGGAGGACCTTGGGGAATCTGAGAGGTGAATTTCTCTAGCCTTGCCGTACTCTTGCAATTGTGCTCCTCTTCCCTACTCCTCCAACCCCCACAGACCTCAGCTATAGAAAAGAGGTGCAGTGTCTTACCTTCTCTTCTCTCGCTGTCATAAATCCCTCTGACGAAAGTGTCTTAAGGGAGAAAGGGCTTATTTTAGCGCACAGTTACAGGTATCGTCTGTCCATCATGACAGAGAGTGAAAGCAAGGGATGCTTACTCTTTAACCCTGTGCCACACCCTCACTCCACCCTTGAGAAAGACAGTTCAAATACTTTATGAGGTCAGTACTGCAAACTTTTCCTAAGGATAACAGCACACATACACTTTTAAATTCTTTTAAAGATTTATTGTATCTTTAAATTTTATTTTATGTGCACTGGTTGAGATTTATTTTATTTTTAATTATGAGAGAGCATATGCACATGAGGGCCGGTGCCCTTGGAGGTCAGAGGTATCAGCTCTCCCTGGAGCTGGAGTTACAAGTGGTTGTGAGCCACCCAGTGTGGGTGCTGGAATCTGAACTCCAGCCGTCTGCAAGATGTTAAGCCATGCCAGGTGGTGGTGGCGCAAGCATTTAATCCCAGCACTCGGGAGGCAGAGGCAGGCGAATCTGTGAGTTTGAGTCCAGCCTGGTCTACAAGAGCTAGTTCCAGGACAGCAAACCCTGTCTCGAAAAACCAAGAAAAAAAAAAAAAGAAAAGAAAGAAAAGGAAAAAAAAAGATGTTAAGCCTTATTTCCCAATTTCCCACCATACGTTTTATCCAAACTCCTGACTGCTGTCTTTGTCAGAACAGAAACCAAGGAGTAATAAACTAATGCCCCTACCGAGAAGTTTAAAAGGGACCACAAACAGGAAGCCATGCCGAATCCATCCAATAAGAAAGTATAACTACCAACTCGTACAGCATTCAGTTCCAACAGTAACACCACAAAGCATCTCCACAGACTTAGGGGGACGGTCTCCAACAGCTGTCCCACTCTAGATGCCCGTTACAAGAAGAGTTCCCAAGACACTTATTAACAAGCTAAAATCTGAGATAGCTAAGATGGGCACAGCATTGGCTAGACAGACATTCAATAGCATTTGACTAAATGACTAAAAAAAATAAAAATCACAGTCTCAGCCCTAGAGGAATGATGATCCTTTGTCCATTAGACGATTTGACTAAGAAATATTTCCATATCCTAACTAGCTCTAGGCTGTGTTCTCTCTGGTGGCCTATTCCTTCTGGCCTGAGGTCATTCAAGAACTGGGCAAGCAAGAAAAGCAATTGACAGGAACAAAGTCAGGAAAGTGGGGGCGCGGGGGGAGGGAGACACTATGAGAAGAGCCCCCAAAGCACTTTTTATTACGGCCTCGTGCCTACCAACATGAGAACTCTAAAATCTGACTCCGTCCCTAGAAAAGAGTGTCCTGCGTCTCCGGCACCTTAAGAAACTCCGTAAATAAAATATGCCCCTTCAGTGATAAAACCCAGGGCCCCTACTAAGCGGAACGTTTCAAACCTGCCTCCAGCGACGAAAAAACTGGCTCCTCCCCTTCCGGTTGATACCCAAGCCACACCCCTAAAGTGCGAAGTTATCCCTGTGATGTAATTGTTAACGGTCCGTTTCCGGGGCGGAGCCAGGGAGGGCGGGGAGTTTAGGCTGTGCCGACCCCTGAGCCCCCCTTCAGGTGACTCCAGCCCCTGAAAAATCTTCATCCAGGGCCCTAAATGACCCAGCCCCACTGCTGCCAGACCGCTCTCCTTGACGACTTCACGCCCCGGTCCCTAGATAACCGTCCTCCTAACGCCTTAACTTCCAGTGACTTCCATATCATCAATCCCATCCAGTCCCGATGTGGCCTTTGGCTTGCGGGGGGCCACCTGCCTCAGGGTACCTGAGGACTATTCAGACTCGTCCTGGGAATGATGGAGAAGGGGACTTGCGGCTGGGAATAAGTGTTCCTATCATGCTGCTCCCCAGGAACCGCTGGAGCCCGGGACATGTCGCGATTGAGGAGATACGAGGTGGCGCTGGAAGCGGAGGAGGAGTGAGTGGAGGCGGGTGATGCGGAGGAGGGATATGAGGCCGGGGGTGGGGGGAAGGTGCGCGTCCCGGGGCGGGCAGAGCGGGCCCTAGAGGGGCGTGGGCTGCGGGTGGCCAGCCCCTGGGGGCGGGGCTTCTCTGCGGGCTAGGTTCCAGGGGTGGGGTCTGTGGGTCAGCCCCGCCCCTCCGGGTCCGGCTCTGCCTTCTCTTTGCAGGATCTACTGGGGCTGCTTCTACTTTTTTCCTTGGCTGCGAATGTGGCGCAGGGAGCGGAGGTGAGGGGGCTGCGATCTCGTGGGGGCATGAACGAGTTTTAGTGTCGGAGGATGGATGGTGGGGGAGTTCAGGAGCCCCCGCCCGGCCTCATGTCATTGTCGGGTCGCCCTACAGCTCTGCGCACCCCCGGGAGCAGAAGCTGGAGCCTCTGCGGGGCCTAATGAGCTGTTTGTCGAGCGGCCTGAGGCCTGCTCCCCAGCGCTCAGGTCGTGGTCTCCTCTGTCGCACCCCCACCAGCGCTGCACAGACAGCCGGTGCATTAAAGATTTAAAGTCATGCCCACTGCCTTCCTTACTTTACCGCCGCAGCCGCCGTTGGTGCTGGGAATCCCACTTCACACCTGCTGTTTTCTTACCCACAGGGCGACCCTCCCTGGTAGGATGCCCTTGCATGTCAAGGCCTCCATTGCTCCTAAGGGCCCTTAATTATCGTCATCTTCTAATTACTATCAGTGACTGGCTTCCTGCCACACCCTCCCCAAAAGCACCCACACAGTAGGCCACATATTTCCCCCACTTATCAGTGTTCCCACAACTCCAGCTGTTACTGCCTTCCTCTAGCTGGAACTTGGCCAAATCTCTGAAGAGTCTTCCCTTCCTGAGAGTGAATCTAAAACATTTTAGCCAAACAGAGTCAGCTAGAGGAAGGATCAGTTCCTAGAAGCTGCCTCTACAGTCTTCCCAAGAGAGTGTCAAGGGTTAAGAGTCTAAGGCTTTTCCTACAGCTAAAACCCCAAACCGGCTCCCTCCAGTCTGATCCCTTTTTTTTTGTTTGTTTGTTTCTTTTCTTTTTTTTTTCATAACGAGTGTGTGTGTGTGCCTGCCCACCACAGCCCATGTGCACGCAGAGGTCAAAGCACAACTTGAGAGAGTCCATTCTCTTTCTACCATATGGGTTCCAGGGTGCAAACTCGGTTCCTCAGGCTTGTCACTATGGCCATCTTGCCAGCCCCTGACCCCAGTTTTAAAAATACTTGGCATCCCTAGAAGAGTCCTGCCACCCATTTTTATCCTGCTGACCCAAATCACTCTGGAACCAACTCTTGCAGTGGCAAGAGTCCCCACAGACACCCACTCCAGCACCAGAAAGGGGAGACAGCCTGGATTTTGGCTGAGCCCAAAGCTGACTTTTAGCCTGGCACAGCCCCTGCCATAGCCATTTGTGCTGGAAAAGAAGGCTTGGCCTTTATATCTTTGGAGATGCCAAAGAAGAGATGGGTGCATAGCCAGGAAAATGTTTCTCCTTTCCAAAGATCTCTAGATTGACAAGTCCAGAAGAGCTCACAAATAGCAGGCAGCTAGCTAACAAAACAAATAGACAGGATGATACAACTGGGGATTTGGGGGGGGGGGGGGGCGGTGCTACATCCAAGCCATGGAACAAAGGTCTAGAAAGGGATTAAGAGATACCCTGAAGCTTCGGGTATCAAAACTTCAGGACGAGTAGCCTCTAGGATGTGGTTACTTCCAAATACCTAAAACTGTGCAAACTTTAGCTGTCTCCTCACGGTGTTTGCATCAAAGACCCCTTCAAAGGCTTTGTCTAGCACTGGGCCTCATCCTTCCAGACAGCCAGAGGCCTCTGAGACAGTGTCCAGAGGGCCTTTGGGTCTCACCCTCTTCAAGAGGAAGCAAGACTTAGATTCTCAGCCTAGCTATAGCAGAACAAGCTGCCCAAAGATCATGGCAGTCCAAGAGCTCTATCTACAGATGACTGACCTCCGAGCAGAAAACACAACATATAGATAAGGGGTGGATTCTTAGGGTTATGGCTCAGTTTGTATTTCAAATCCAGAACAAGACTTGAAAATTGAAGTTCCCAGATTATGCGTCTGGACCATTAACCCGACCAGCGTGCCCCACCCCCAGCAGATTATAGCTTTCCAGAAAGAACTGCCTCAAGATGAGCGGGGCTTTTGCCTGGAAGAGAAGGAAGGGAATAGTAGAATGGGGTGCTCAGAGTTTGGGGAAATGGGTATTTCTGAACCTGGGTTGGAAGGTGTATGTTCCTTCAAGCCCAGAGTGTAAAGAGGATGCAATTTGAATCAAAAGAGACCTAACTTAGTTCTTGAGTCTGATGTCTCCAACAAGCCAGAGACTAAGTCTGGAAACCCCCAGGCTCCCACTGACAAGCTGGCATCCGTGGAACAAGACCAAGCAGAAGCAAGAAGGTGAGATTTGGGGGAGGGGCCTTTTCATCGTCTGAGAGTTTTGTTTGTTGAGACAGGTTCTCATTATGTAGCCCAGGCTGCCCTGGAACTCACTATGTAGACCAGGCTAGCCTCAAACTCAGAGAGTGATTTGCTTCTACCTCTCAAATGCTGGAAATAAAGACCTGCGCCACGATATCCCTCCCCCTTTTGCCTGTTTTAACATCAGCAGTCAGGCATCAGAGAGCTTTTATTTCTCCTCATCCATCACCCTTTACCTCCTCTTCATGGCGAAAGTCTCCCCCCTTCACCAAGGAGAGTCTGTTTTAGGGACCCAGCCCTATCAATTTCTCCCGATAAGTAGGCAGGCCAGGGCAGAGAGTAAGGAGGAGAAGATAAAGGCAGGTTAGTGCTGGCCTGCCTTCGTTCCTACCCACTCATAAACTCTTCTGTCAGAATATGTAATACGATAGCACAGAGGGATGGTGGTGGAGATGCAAATGTATTGCAGTGGGACTTTGGGGGATAACTGGAGCTGTATGATTTTGTCTATGATTGTACAGTCATGGGTGTGACTTTATGAGGTTACGTGACCAACGTATGACTGGTGAATGTGTGGCTACGCGCATGATTGTAAATGCCTATTAGTAGATATCCCAGTGATCGTGGCTGCCCTAAGCCGCTGTAGCATCAGCCCCTACGTCACTCACTACCCCTCTTCAGTGTTCTCTCTTCGGGGCTTAGGAACCCCTGGGAAATGATGATGGTCCGAGAAAGGGCTGGCTGGGGACAGTGACAGCGGGCCAAGAGCTGTCACAAGATAAGCAAGGTATTGCCACCTGTCTCTGACTCACCTAGTGCCCCAGGCAAAATGCAACTAGATAAAAGGTAGGGAGAGGAGGAGAAAGAAGCTAGCAAGGAGGCTGAGCGGCATGGAGGGGCTCTCGCCCACCAGCAGCCTCCTGTTGATATTGTTGCTTCTGAGCCCAGAACCTGGAACAGGTAAGTTCCCGGAGGGTATAGAACGATGAATGGATGGACTAGAAGGGATGGGACGCAGAGAGTTCAACTTTCATGGAGCAGCTGTGGCTCCAGACCTTTCTGAAGACAGGGCCCTGTTGTTCTGCAGGCTTGCCACTGCCCTCCAGCTCTACCTGCTGTACGCAGCTCTATAGACAACCGCTCCCCAACAGGCTACTGAGGAAGATCCTCCATGTGGAACTGCAGGAGGCCGATGGGGACTGTCACCTTCAGGCTATTGTGTGAGCTCTGCCCCCAACCCTGCTACCTCTAACTGCCTCTAACTCCTAATCCCAGCCCCAATGCTAATTCTGGTGCCTCCTCAAGTTTTCATCTGTCTCTTGCCCCTAACCCCTGAACCCCACCTAAGCTCATACCCCAAACCTGGGCATAGCTTTGGACTTTTCCCTCCCCAGGCTTCACCTGCCTCGGCGCACTGTTTGTGTCCACCCTCAGAACGGCAGCCTGGCTCGGTGGTTTGAGCGCCATGGGAAGAGTCTCCAGGGGACTCTATCCAACTTAAATCTGGAACTACAAATGAAAATGTACTCGAGCCCCCAGCAGCAAAACTAATAAAACAACATTAGACAACAATCCAAAAACTTCTTCAGTCTCTTTATTTCAACTCTTCACAGTCCCCACAAGGGCCAAGGCCAAGGTCTGCACACACTCTCCAAGCATCTATATACACACATACAGAGAATGTCTGTTCCTTATCTCACGTATGCACAGTCACAGGTGGACACAGACATGCACATCTCTACACACTCCTCGGTGAACTTCCACCTCAAGGATGACATCAGAAGTCCAGGCACCATTCAGCTGGCAGCAAGCTTGGAGTATAGGGTCTCAAAGAAAAGGGCTTCAGACTTCCAGCTGAGACCTCCATCCTTAGGGGTCCACACTGCTCTGCCTCCTTTTCTGCCCGTCCGTTTAACCACCCCAGCCGGACAGGATCACAGGTGCAATCAGCTGAAGTTCTCCTGGGTCCTCTGCAGGTTTGGAGTGCCTAGAAGAGCGGGGAGCAAGTCAGACAGCAGGACTGGGTCCCCGGCGTGTGGGGAGGGAGAGTGGTGCTCAGTGGGTGAGGTGTGTGCCGGACAAGCAAGTCTAATGACTTGGGTTCAATCCCTGGGACCCATGTAAAGGTGGAAAAGAGAACTCCACAAGTTCTCTGGCCTCCCAGCATATGACACATGTCATACACACACACATAACACACAGTAATAATACAATTCAATTTTTCAAGTCAGGGAGAGGAGCAAACATCTATCCAAGACATTTAAGGGGGAAGGGGTGATACCCAGTTCTGAGACCTTGAAAATGAAGCTACCTGGTATTCCCAATACTCCAGGAGGGAAGAGACCCATTTCTGAGACCAGAACTGAAAAATGAAAGGTCTACCCTTTCTCCTCTTGCCTAGATATAAAAATGAGGAGCACCCAACTCCAGTGATCCCCAGTACCCATAAAATTGCTAGGGCATCAAATTCTTAAGCCAGACACTCGAGTGGGGGCATGCATTACTTAGTGCTACTCACCTGGAATCCTGTCCACTGGAATCATTGGTGCCAAGAACCCAGGTTTTTGAGGTCCATCCTTCCCACCCCGTCTCAGCCTCAGCCTGAAGCATAAAAGGGCAGCTGTCTCCCCAGGACCATGTCTTTTGGAGGATTTATTAGCAAAAGGGGTGAGAAATGAGTAAAAATCATGAGGGAAAGGACAGTTGGGGGAGAAGTGATTCCCAAATCAGACAGGTTCAGTAGGCAATCAGCAGGAGGCCCTTCGGGTGGGAATGGATGTGGTCTCTGGGCATCACAGCAGCTGTTGGGGTGGGGGGTCACAGCTAAGGAACCAGTGGCACTCTCACTCACCAGAGCCCCAGTGCTAGGGCTCCAACAGCCAGGCCAAGGAAAGAGAAGATTCCCAAAGATGCTAACACAGCCACTTGCTCCAAGGGGTCTCTGTGATCTGAGGGAGAAGGCCATGTGTCACTGGGAGAGAACGTTAGCTGTGCCTGGTGACACCTTCTCTCTTGGACTTTTATCCTCCATATGCCTTTACCAATCAGCCCGAACTTACCAAGCGGTCTTGGGTCTGGCTGCAAGGATGGCCTTGGAGGGGTGGGACCGTCCTCCTGACCTACTACCTCTTGCTGCTGTTTGTTCCCATCAGACATCTCATTCTGCAGGGGACCTGAAGGAAGACAAAACCTGAGAAGGGTACTTAGAAGCTTCTGCCTCTAGAAGGCAGGGCAGGGACTAGAACCTAAGTTTGAGGTGGGGGCCTAAGAAGCAGTTTCAGAGGGTATGGTCAGTTTGTGGGGATCTGGCTTGTAGACTTGCAGACATAGAGTCTAGAAGTGCAGCAGTAGGGACTCCGGGCTATAGTTAGGACAGGGCTGCAGGCCACCAAGGCTATAGCGTAGGACAGCAATAGCAGTGCCTGAAGGAGCCTGACAAGGGGATGTGTAAGCTGTCTAGCTGACAGCTGATTTGGGGGTAAGGGCTCTGCCCTTTTCTTTGTCTCTCACCAGTGCTAGGAGTACCCCAGGCCTCTGGGCTCCAGGCACTCCAGGTGCCAGCATCCAGAAAGTCCCTGGCACTGACTCGTACCGCATGGGGCAGCCCAGCCACGGCATCCGTTATCACCTCCTCCAAGCCAACTGGCTCGACCTGGAGGCAAAAATGGTTCCTCAGGATGTGGTTCAAGCTGTTAGTAGAGAGCCTGCCCAGCCCCAGCCACACTGCCCCCATCTCACACTGCCCCCATCATCAGGTAGAGGGTCTAGGCCAGGCTGGGTGGCTGGTGGGACAGATTCTATGTCTGGGGTTAGGAAAATGGAAGCCTGCAGTGGTCACTTTGAGGGACTATTGTATCAGTCTGTCTATGTTCAAAACCTTGTTAAGCTACTTGCTGAGTGGTTTGGGGTCTCTCTATATCTTGAATTCTTCATTTGTAAAATAGGAGTGAATACCTCACAGAGGTAACATATATAAAATGCATAGCAAGGTACTCTGCAGGCAGACAGCTCTGAATGCAGATTATAAACAAGTGGGGTTCCTCCCAGGACAGATGCCGACCACTCTGTGGGGAGATTCACTAGTTTCAGCTAGACATGAGTGTTTATATGAGGGGTTCTCTGGGTGAGATATACCCGCTTTCCTAGAAGTTATTATTGTCTGGTGTGTATGTGTTCGCACGCACACGTGAGCAAACCCAGCATGCATGTGGTTGTCAGAGGACGAACTCTGGAGTAAGACTTTTGGTGTCTACGTTGTTTGAAACAGGTTGCTGTTCTTAGCTGCATAGCCAGGCTGGCCGGCCCAGGAACTTCCTGAGATTCTGGTGGATTTGCCTCCCATCTCTCCATGGGAGCACATGGCGTCACCTGGCTTTATGTGGGTTCTGAGGATCCAAACTCAATGCTTGCACAGCAATTGCTTTCCACGCTCATCCATTTCCCCAGTCCCTATAAGTGATTCTTAAACCCATTTCTGTCTTCTCACACATGCTTGCATTATTGTTAGTTACCCAGGACAGAAGTTTCTGTCCTGCCAGGGGCAACTCCAGCCTGGGAACACTATAAAGGGGGAAACCGGGTCTTCTGAGACCTGCCCATGCCTGGAAGCTATACATACTATTCAAGATCTCAAAACAAGACACAGAACCTGAAGAGAAAGATTGAGACACACTGCAGACCTCACCGTGGACCATGCTGGATGCTGTGCTGGACGATATTGTAGCCGGAACCTGAGCAGGAAGTAGGGTTGGCGGCGCCAGGAAGCAGGGTATGTCCAGCTTGCATGCAGGCGTCTTGGGTAACCAGGTACTGATTCCACCCGCAGTCCCTGGGGTGGATCAGGACGCACTAAGGGTAGCCAGACACGAAGTTCAAGGTGAGTGACGAGTATTCACCCCTTCCTCACTATTTCCCCCACAGTGTATGCGGTGTATACCATGTGTGCTGTGTGTGTGTAAAGACGCGTTAGTCAGACACTCCCAGGAGGGCGGGAAAATGTCAAATTTGGTTACTCATCTAGCTTCAGGACCTATCTGTTATCCTTGTTATAAAATAAGCAGACATTTGATAAGTTTGAGTGATAAGGGATTCTTCTTTGCATCCACAGAAGATTCACTAGTCCAAATTCCAACCTAGTTTTATGGCCATCTCCCCTCCCACACGCAGATCAAGAGAAAGGGACCAGCAAGCCTTTCCCCTGGGCAGGGAGAGCATGAGACTGGACTGCCCTCAGCATAGGGTCTAGAAGCAGGAGTTACCTAGGCAGCCAAGAAGATAGTTAGCAACTAACTTGTAGAGAGTGGTAGCAACCTCCAGAGCAGTGGTTCTCAGCCTTCCTAATGCTGCAATCCTTTAACACAGTTCCTCATGTGGGGGTGACCCCCCACACACCATAAAATTATTTTCATTGTGCCGGGCAGTGGTGGCACACAACTTTAATCTCAGCACTCAGAAGGCAGAGGCAGGCAGAGCTTTGTGAGTTTAAGGCCAACCTGGTTGACATTGTGAGTTCCAGGCTAGGCAAAGCTACACAGAGAAACCCTGTCTTGAAAAAACAAAACAAAAAAAAAAAAAGTAAAAAAAAATGTTTTTGTTGCTACTCTATAACTGTAATTTTGCAACTGTTATGAACTGTGATGTAAATATCTGATACGCAGGATGTCTGATGTGTGATCACCCACTGGGTCGCGAACCACTGCCCTGGCATGTGTACCCATCCCTGTGACTACTTGCTCTTTATGTACGAGAGGGAGAGGACCAGTTGGAAGTTGGGGCAGGGAGGGTGGGAGTCTGTTTGGAGTCTCTGTGATGGGAGTCTGGGGGTTGGGGTACTCACAGATGCTCTGTAATCTCACGTCCAGTAGGCATGTGCTGGCACCCAGTGGGTTCACCTCAGTCACATTGATCCGGTACTCACTCCAGAACTCTGCCCCATGGACCACACATCGGAAAGCCTCTAGAGGGTCCTGTGGGCATGGCCAAGGCCCTGTGGATGAACTTTCCCTAGGAGGGAGGATATGGTTTTGCAAATAGGTCACAAGTTAGAGTACTCTTTCTCTCTCTCTCTCTCTCTCTCTCTCTCTCTCTCTCTCTCTCTCTCGTCCTACCTCTCACTCTCAGTTCCTGGTAGGATCTTCTTCCTGATGGAAAGGGTGTCATGTGAGGTCAGGAGGAAAAGAGAGCCCCCTGCCTTCTCTGAGAATTTGTCAGAACTTCCCTCCCTTGCCCGCCACACCCATATCGTGCCAGCATCCCAAGCTGCATGAGCACACATACTACACATGCACACACATACCTGTAGGAAGTAAGGTAGCGGGTGGGCAAACCGCTGACCTGGCTGGGACTCCAAGTACAGGAGAAGTTTTCATAGTCTACTGCTTGGCAGGAAACCTCGGGACGAGCTGGGGGAACTAGACACACAGGGTACCGCTACAGACTGAGGCATCCCTAGCTCCTCCCTATCCCAGAGAGCTTGTTCAGGTCCCAGGGCCCCTTGGGAATCCAATGGCCCCTCACTGCCACCTTCCCTAACTCACAGCCCAGCTTCAGGGTCACCATGCCCCCAAATA